AACTTCAACCTAGGTCCATGGCTTGTGTGTTTCTAGGACATCACCCTACCACTAAAAGCTATTTTCAACAAGAGGGTATTGATTTTCAAGAAACGTTTAGTCTAGTGGCTAAACTCCCAACCATCCAGATTCTGCTATGTATGGCTCTTCATCATCAATGGTCCATCAAGCAATTAGACATCTCTAATGATTTTCTTCATGAGAAATTAGAAGAGGAGGTTTACATGTTACAACCACCTGGTTTTATTCAATCTCCTAATCAGGTGTGTAAGTTGAACAAGGCTCTATATGGTCTTAAACTAGCCCCTTGGGCTTGGTATTCCACCTTTGCCTATTTTTTTCTTTCTCAGGGGTTTACTAATAGCCAGCCAGATACTTCACTCTTTGTTCATCATTCCTCTGCTAGCCTCATGCTTGTGGTGTATGTTGATGATATCTTGGTTATAAGAAGTGATTCACTTCTGGTTTCTAACTTGATTACTCAAATGCATCAGGTCTTTTCCATGAAGGAATTGGGTTCTGTCTCATATTTTTTGAGGATCTCCGTGTAGTGTCAAGGTGCTATTCTTTCCTTTCTCAAGCTAAGTATGTCACTGAGTTGTTACACAAAACTGGCTTAGCTAATTGTAAGCCTTGTTCCACTCCATTGGCTCTGAAGCCACCCTCTACATCCCATGATTCTCTTCCTTTTTCTAACCCTCTTTATATCGTAATATCATTGGTGGCTTACAATAGCTTTTGAAAAATAAAAGTACACACACAGTTAGCAGATGAGATATGTTTCTCCCTTGGTAGTTATTAGCATGGATGTAAATTTGGCCCACTGGCCCATGACCCATCTAAAGGTGGCTCGCAACCCAGTGCTGCCCAACCTGGCTAGGCTTGGCCAGGCCCGAGGCCATGCCCTACCTGAGACGTTGGGCCCTCTGTTTTGAAGTCCAGCCCGGCCAATGAGCTCGCTCTACAGTCCGACCTAATTGGCCTAAAAAATAATTTTGTAATAATATTTATCTATTTATTTAATGATATAAATTTTTGTAATATTTTATTTCATTTTGAAATAAAAATTATTCATTAAATATTATCTGTTTAATTTAATGATTGTAATATTTCTCTTCATTTTGATATATATATATATATATATAATTATTCATTTCATTTCATTTTTTTTTTCGAGGGAAAAAAGACTATGTATGCACCTTATAACTAAATTAGAAAATGATATAATTTTATACTTTTTGAGTTATAACTACAAAACATAACATAATATAACTAAATATTTCACTAATTATAACTAAAATAATGTCATAACTTAAGAAGAAAATTAATCGTAACTAAAGTACAAAATAACATAACTTGATAACCTACTCATAACTTAAAAAAAAATAGTCAGAACTAAATACCACACGAGACACAACCAAATAGCTCTCATGAATCATAACTAAAACAATGTCATAACAAAAGAAAAAAATTACGTAATTTCATACTTTTTGAGTCAAAACTAAAGCAAGCATAAGTCATAGCAATTAAATATCACATGAAATATAACTAAATATCTCATCCATCATAACTAAAATATTTTAGCACAAATTTTCTTTTATTTTTTTTTTATCCCTCATAAATAATCTATATATAATATCTATCAATTATTTTTTGCTAAAGAAAAAAGGCCCGCTTGCCTCGACTTGTAGCTCGAGCCCAGGCCTGTGGCCCAACCCCCAGACCCATTTTGAGTGGGCTTGGGCTTGGGCCTAGGCCTAGATTTCTTTCTACGCAAGCTGGCCCGACCCGTCCCTAATATCAGTGGGAACTCGCATGGCCCTACAGTGGGCTGACCTGAGCTCAAGCCCTGGTGAGACGAGCCAACTGGATCGGGCTAAATTTATACCCTTGGTTATTAGGTAGACCGGTCAAGATCTCTTAAAAAATTGATTGAATACAAAACTAAAAATTAAAAAAAATTAAAAAGTTTTAGTATATTATGATATTTTGTTGTATTTAATGAATGTTTAAAGATTTTTATACAAATTTTATACTTTTTAAGTATATCTAGATTAAGTTGATCTAAAAGGTAAAAGAAATTGATTAAGATGTTAAAAAAATCACTAAAAAAAATGGATTGAAAACTCCAAAAACTATTTTTGAAAATTTTAAACTAAACAAAGTTTTATGATACCATATTAAGTGGCCATATTTGTTTTGCTCCAAGTGGTGGATTGGATTAGTAATATAATAAGGCCATGTTGTACTTTAGACAAAATAAGAAGGGCTTGTAATGCAGTAGGCTATTATTATTCAAATAAATACCCCCTTGATTATTTAGTCGGTGATGATGTGAATCCCATATTTATTTTGTCATAAGATTGAATATCTTGTAATGACTTATTCTATTAAATCTAATGTTTGATTGTGAAACTATATAGATGGATAATATCTAGACCATTTTGCCTTTTTGATTTGTTTACTATGCAATGGGAATACAAAATTTAAAAAAAATAAAAATTAGACCAATAAAAAATAAAAATTCAGTGTGAAAGAGAATCATACAATCTGAGATTAAGGCCTCATTTAACATGCAATAGTTTTAGTCTAAAAATTAAAAAGTTACTAGAAAAACTAAAAATCTTATAACCTATACCAAAATGTCAAAAATTCTATTTTCTCTCTACTTTTTGCACATCTTTTCGTAAAAAATCAAAAAATTATTTCAAACATACTAATTTTTTTTACCTCATATTTTAGCCTAAAAACTAAAAAGTTACTAAAATAGTTTGTTCTCAACGAGGCCTAAGTGTACCAATATATATACATATATGAGATTTACATGTTCATCGAATTTTGTGAATGAATCGTTTTGTGAAAAAAGGGGAAAAAGAACCAGAGAAAGTGGATACATATTACTCAAATGGGACAATTTGTATACTTGGGGGTTATTTTGGTAATTTAGAAAGCTAATAATAAGGTCTCCTCATGCCATTGATTTGTGTCCCATCTCTTTTTCTAAGATTGAGTTATCCCTGAAATAGAGGATACATTGCTCAAATGGGACATTTTGTACAAGGTTATTTGCCCACCAAATGTTGAACTAAAGGTTCTACTAAGGTCTCGTTTGGTAAGTAACTTTTTTAGTTAAAAAGTAAAAAAATTATTAAAAAAATTAAAAAGTCAACAATTCATACTAAAAAGTTAAAAATTCTCTTTTTTCTTTACTTTTTTCATATATTTTCGTAAAAAGTCAAAAAGTCATTCCAAACATACTAATTTTTTTACATCACATTTGAGCTAAAAAATCAAAAAGTTACTAAAAAAATATGTTCCCAAACGAGGCCTAAATATGGGAAACAATCCTACGCTTATATCCCACCACATAAACACCTCTTAATGCTCGTGTAAATCATATTAGTTGATAAAAAAAAAAAAAATCGCTAATCTTCAAAAGGGTGAAATAAGTTGTCATAGGGGATTGGGATTAACAATTCAATCTCATCCGATTAGAAGTGAGAATATCATTTTACTTATAATTTACAAAATTTAAAAAATATATATACATATAATGAGAACTTTCATATAATTTTATTCCTATAAGGTAAACAATTAATAAATTCTAATAGTTTGACTTAATTTTTATCAAGTTTTATTGAGAATAAGTACTAAAAAAATTATTGTTAAAAATAATTTTTGTGACGATTTTTTACATATGTTGCTAAAAATTGACAATTAGTGACTTTTTTCTATCATAGTTTTTATAAATTGTCGCTAAAACTTATAATAGTGATATTTTTTGTGACAAATTTTTTAAACTATTGCTGAAAGTTGAAAAATAGTGACTTTTTGTTACATTTTTTAAAACTGTCGCTAAAACTTATAATTAATGATTTTTTTGTGACAATTTTCAAACTGTCTTTGAAAATTAATAATTTGAGACGTTTTCTAATATTGTTTGATGAAAAACGCGATTAATTATTATAGAATTTATTAGATAATAAGTCTACCTATTAAGACATATACATAAGTCTCCCTTAATTTAATTCCAATTAATTAATGACTTTATCACAATTTTATCTAAGCTACCAATCAAAGAAAATGGAAAATGATACCGAGCTCTAAATCTGGAGCTCTAATTGAGCTCTAGTGATGTGACAAAGCAAAACTAAAATAAAAAAATAAGGCACAAACATCATATCATGAGTGGGGACAGCTCATTAAAGCTGCTTTAGAGCTCTATATTTAGAAGGGCAATGCTAGAGACCTCTAATTTAGAGGCTCTAAACACACCTCTAATGAGGTGGAAAAGGCAAAAAAAAAAAAAAAAGTTTCAAGACACAGCATTGATGTGGCAGTGGGTGGGACCCACTGCCACATCACTAGTGGTACCTCTAATTAGAGGTCCTAAGCATTTTTCATATTTAGAAGAAAAATGCTTGAGAGCACTAAAAAGGGATCACTAAAGAGAACACTAATGATGTGACAGTGGGCCCCGGCCACTTTCTATGCCTTGTTTTTATTTTTTTATTTTTTTTTTATCATTCTCAATGTATTAGTGCTATTAGTGGTGTAGTTTTTAGTGGTCTAAATCATTATTGTATTTAGAACTTCCAATCTTTTTTCCAACAAAATAACTTTATTATTCATATTTTTAACCGGGTGACCTCATACATCGGAATGCCAAAAGTAGCAAGAATATTGTAGCTGCACGAGTTTTTCTTATTAAAAAAAACATAATAAAGATAAAATTACCAAAAAAAAAAATAATTTTTTAGCACACCCCTATACATAATCACCCTAAAAAAAAAAAAGAAGAAGAAGAAAAAGAAGAAGAAGTAAATTTCGAGGCAAATTCGAACCTCGAATTTGAGGCTGAATCATTAATCTTTCAAAGATTATCCCTTAAGAGGTAAAATAATACTTCCCAATATTTTAAAAATCTATTTATATAATTTTTATAATTTAAAAGTCAAAATAAATATTTTTCAATAATCTAGGAATCTCCGTGTAATAACCTAAAAATAGATTTTGAACAAAAAGCTATCAGTGCGCTGAGGACAGTCGTTCTCTTGTGAGTCCTCATCAGCAATGGCGGCTTCTCTGCAACTCACTGTGAAACCCTTCAAAACCCATCATTTCCATTCCAAATCTTTATCCAAACACGCCCCTAAATTCGCTACGATCCGCTGCTCCGCCACCTCACCCTCAAGGCGCTACTCCATCACTCTTCTTGCCGGCGATGGCATCGGCCCCGAAGTCATCTCCGTTGCCAAGAACGCCCTCCAGCTCGCTGGCTCTCTCGAAGGTACAAAACCCCTTTTCTCAAAATCCTAGCTTCATTTTCCGTTTGTTTACCGAGAAAACAAAGGAAAAAAAAAAAAAAAAGAGCATGATTCGAATTGATCCTGTTTGTTTATGTGGCTGAATGTTGTTCTCGGGATCAACATTGCTGTAATGTATAGTTTAGTCTACGAAATTTTGTCCTTTTTTCAACGGGGTTCAGAACCAAACCCAGTTGTTGTTTTTTTTTCAGGGTTTAGGGTTTAATAAGTTTAATTGCCATTATGCATTAGGATTAAATTTTATTTCAAGGAGATATCCAGGGTTTGTAGATGTCCTTTATTTTTTAAGTAGATTTAAATTATTGCATTTAGAAAGGTAATGTACTTCAACTTGAAATAGTGCTATTCAATTAATCAATTAAAATTTCCTATCCAATCTTTCTCTGTTTCTCCACTTCTTTCTATAATTTATCAAATTTATCTTTCTCCTTGCAAATTGGTTCTCAACTTGGCACTCATTGTTCAAGTCCTCTTCATCTGAGGCAAAAATAACTTCTACATAGTCGCTTGTTAAGTATTTGGCTTATAGGGTTTTTCAATGTTGCTGGCACACTCGAAATTACTTTTAGGGTGTAACAGTGAGTTATAATTGGCATTTTGTATCCAGGGATTGAATTTGGCTTCAAGGAGATGCCTGTGGGTGGGGCTGCCTTGGATTTGACTGGAGTTCCCAGTTTACTATGTAGAAACAATTTCAACTTCTTATTTGTGAAGTATTAAACTAGAGTAATATATCATTTTAAATTGATTTATTACAATTGAATTCCGTTACCCGTGTGGTACCAAAAAAATTATTGACCGTGCATTCAGGCATGGGTTATCCCTAGTATTTTTATAATTTAGGGGTGATTTGAGAACCCAAATAAAAGCTGCGTTGTGCAACTTTAAAAACACAACTTGAGACAGCTAAAAACGCTAGAATACTATTTGGGAAGTTAGCAAAAAGCAAGGTGTGAAATTACATGAACTACCCTCCATGTTTACAAGTTGAGGAATAGGGCAAATCACCGTTTGAGATATTTTGATTATTTTATTGTAATGTGAAATCATAAATAAATATTAACTCAAAAAGTAAAAAAATAATTTTTTATCAACTTTTAAAATCATTTTCTAAAAATGTTGAAAAACTTAATTAAAAGTTAAAAATTATTTTTTAATTATTTTTTCAAAATCAATCGTGATAGAGGCCTCCAATTCGAGGCCTCCAATTTGGCTCGAATGCTTTTTTTTTTTTTTTAGCTGCTGTGTTAGTTAGTTTAGTTGTTTTTTTTTTTTTAAAAGTTTAATATAAAATATTATACATTTCGCATCAACTTATCATATAAAATTATATGAAATTAACAAAATTTAATCAACAGTTTAACTGATCAGTCAATTTTATCATTTAACCAGTCCAATTTAATTGACTGATCAGTTAGACTGTTGGTTAAAATTCCTTAATTCCATATAATTTTGTACGATGAGTTAGTACAGAATGTCTAATTTTTTGGCACATCCCTACACATAACCACCTTTAAAAACAATTTAAAAAAAAAAACCAACACAGCCTAACAAATAAAATTAAATTAAATTAAAAAAAAAAATTGATCAGTCAATTTTATTATCCAATCAGTCCAACTCAACTTACTTACAAAATGTCTAATTTTTTAGCACACTCCTATACATAATCACCCCTATAAAGAAAAGAGAGAGAAAAAAAAAGAAAAAAAAAGAGGGGATTTCGAGGCAAATTCGAGCCTCGAATTGGAGGCCTAAATCATTAATCTAAATCAAATTGGGAAAATTACGTTTTGTATTTTAGTTTTTGTGTTATTTTAGTGTGCTTGTAATTTTAATTAGTTTAATTTTAAGGTTAAAATTATAGTTTTCTCTTAATCTAATCTAATTAATTATTACTCTTAGAGTTTTTTTTTTATGAAAAATACAGACATAAGAGATATCTATCATATTTTTAAAGGCAAAATAATAAACTTATTCAACTTAGTGAGTTAATCACAATTAATTCAGAGATAATTCTTCATCGAAAACACTAACGATATTATATTATCAATTGGATCAAATTAATACAAAATCTAAAATCACGGATCAAATTTGAATAAATTAAAAGTGTAGAAATCAAATGATATAATAGGCAAAATATAGAGATTATTGATGTAATTTATCCAATTAAATTAGTTATAAAACTTATTAGAAAAACTAGAAGGTAAAAAATCAAATGAAAGGTCCAAACAAGAAATGTATTCACTTTCCTTTTTACACATTTTTCGAAATTATTTCTAAACACATCAGTTTTTGCATACTTATATTTTAATTAAAATGTCAAAAATTTTTTTAAAATGTCAATTTTCAAAAGAAACCCTCAGTAGTACTTTCATAAAGTAATTATATATATATTTAAAAAAATTTATAATTTTAATTATTAATTTTTGTAAAATTTATCATTTATAAATATTTTTTAATTGAGTCCAGAAAAGAAATTCTTTAGGTACTGTTTGTCTAAAGGTGGAGAAAAGATATTTCTCTCAAAAGTAAATTTTTTTTTCCTCTATAAATTTAAGCACGTTTTGGCAACACGTTAAAATACCTAAAGAGTTTTTTTTTAAAAAAAAAAAATTACTATGAAAAAGTCAATTATTTATTTATTTTTTTACACATCTTTTTATAAAAAAATAAAATAAAATAATCAATTCCCAAAACAACTCTTAGTTAGGTGGCGAGATATTTTTTTCCCCTCACCTATTTCGTTTAAATTATTTTTAAATAAAGAATTGATCACAAACATTCACCTAATTGAGCCATATTGTGCTTAAATCCCTACAGCACGAACAAACCTTTTGAAATAAGATTTATGCCCTCCAATCCGTGACCCTAATAATTTTTGCTGATGAGAGTAATTAAACTTAAGATCTTAGAGACAACAAACCTCCAGATCCTAAACCTTATCCGCCAGGCCAAACCCTTCAAGTTAACATTCACATAAATAGTTAGAAATTGAATACAAAAATGCATAAAAAAACGTGCTCACTAATAATAATTTTAGAGTATGGGCAATCCTAATTATACATAATTTGTATATATAAATAAAAAAAAATACCAAAATATTTAATGCATCGTCAAAATTCACTTAAAACATGGGTTTCTGTCATACAAACATTGAATCTCAACAACAAATTATATTTCTAAGCATATTAAGCATATATCTTTAAAGTAATTTGTTAGAAATTGGGCGCCCATGTGGCATGACCCTTTTCTGAACCTTTTGAATCTTATCCAAATAAGTTTGAATTTAAATTCAAAATCTATTTAGATAACCACTCAGGATATCTATATCTACCATATCAACTGATATGGATAGATGAGATATATATCTTATATATCTGATATAACTGATATGGATAGATTTATTATTATCCTATATATCTGATATAATATGGGATATGGATGATTAAGAGAATAATAACGTATGTCGTATGTTGTTTCCCATATTCTGACTCTCTCCCAAAATACAACGATCAAGAGCCATTTTGTACTGTGATTTGTGTGGGTGATATTCATTCTGTAATATCACTCCACTGCTGGGTTGATTGATCAGATTCAGGAAGCACGTGATTTACCCACGAGATCCTTTCAATTCAGACTCTGCAGAAAAAGGTATGACCATAATTTTTCATCCGCTGCGTTTTACCTTTGATTTACATAATTATATATATAAATAGATATTGATCAGATTTTCTAATCATTAAACATAAGGTAGTGATTTCAATATTAATATACGTGTGAACCATGCCTCTATTTCTAGTGATAAAAAAAATATATATAAAATATTTCTATATGTATAACATTTTCATATTATTATGTCAAGAGATAGAATGAATATGCATACATCAAATGTGTGTTTGTTCCACAAAAATTTCAACAAGCAAATTCACGCGTGTAATTCAGAGACATAAAAAAAACTCATTTTGAATTAGCCAAACAAGTTATTTTCTCATTTTTGACCAAAATTTTTAAGTCCTATTTTTGCATGGGTGAATTATACAAGCAGCCTTATTGGATACTAAAAGATGGTCATTTTGACAAGAATATTTACCAAACAGCCATGCATTAATATTAGACTTACCAAACAGTCAATGCAACCAAACACAGCATAGCATGGTCTCTCTCAAGCTCACTATATAAAGCACGCAGCACAAGCTCATTCAGTATAACTCATACAAACAAACTGACATACATATTGTTTAGAGAGAAAAAAAAATAAAACAATATGGACACCAATAGCAACATTGCTAAAGGATGGAGTTCGTAGTGTCAATTGCTAATTTTTCACCCACGTTTTTGTAGCCTATGAAAGGAACCTTTGGAACAATATCTAGGGCATTACGAACACGTAGAACACGGAGATTTTTGAGCCCAGACAAGACCTTTTTGAAGTCTGAATCACCAAGAACACAAAGGCAGTCATAGGACACGCCTTATCTGGTTGGTTTCTAGGAATGTTCAATCCATTGGCAGCTATGTCAAATGAATTTAAGGTTGCAATTGCTGCACCCAAACTGTGACCAACTACAGTTATGTTGATTTCTTCATTTTGGTATTCTTCAACAAGCCTTCTGACCGCTTAAAGAACCTAAACTATATTATAAATGATGATTTTGGCATTGTTCTGCAAATTAAGAAATTATTATGTACCATCTTTTCTTAAACTACAATGTTAGGAAGCCCAAAAAGTTATCTGAAAAAATGAAGCTTCGTGCACTAGATGTCTTCTCAGTGTGCTCACATCACACAAAGTTTGAATCTATATATGATACATTTTTTGATCATCTTTTTTGTTAGAAATGGTTTGAAATTCTAGGTAAAATCAGAATTTTTTTCTATCTTTGGTCAATTATTTAGGTGGGACCCGTACGCCAAAATTGGCGGGTCTAAGTTTTTTTTTTTTTTGATCGGCGAAAAAAATCTTTATTGATGACAACATACAAGGTATGGAATAGTACATCAATAAAGAGGAGCTTAGAGCTAAGGCAAAGCTCCAAGCGCCAGCTGGTAAGAAACCAACCAACACAGACAAGGTCAAAGAAGAGAAAGAAACAAATACGGAAATGGCCACTAGATCAGCAATCTGTACACCAATGCAATCTGTACACCAAAACATCTTCCCACAAACAACATACTTCCCACATCAGGCCAATGAACTCCCACTGTACACATGCCCAGCAGCAACACAACCAGCAAAAATCTGAGTAGTGGCAAAGATAGAACAGATCAACAACTCTTCATAACATCATTTTATTGACTCATAGTTCAGTAACACACCAATCCAGCAACACATTACACAGCAAAACAGCAACACAGTGAAACAATACACACCCACTGTACACCAATCCAGCAAAACAACACAGTGTAACCGATCAGATCAGCAGAGTTTTCCCACAAACCAACACAGCTATCCAAGATCTACCCAAAATAGTACACCCAGCCACCAAGCCTCAGGGCCTAACAGATCTGAACACCACAGCTCAGCACCGTGTTCAGCCTAAGTGGTAACGCATTTTATGTCACGTTGTGATTCACGTGGTATATTTGGTTGCTCAAAAATATTTTCGAGTGAATGGAAAATTGAAGCTAAAGTGTGCTCCATGAAAATTGAGTTTTGGTGGAAATTCCTTAAAGTTTGTGTAAATGGCTTGTCCCACATTGATTTGGTGGGAAGTTTTGAA